CAAAATGTGGCAACCAATCGACAGCAGTGACTTTCTTGTTGTCATTTCTTAGCAGACCAAACTGCTTGAAACGGTATGAATGCAGAGTTCGATTGTGTACTCTGTGTTGACCATAGAGATTCACCTCCTTTACTATTCAAACTACGTCCAATCTCTGTTCAATTTAAAGATTTCAATATGACTCACAATTCATTGTGACTAGTGGTGTGGGATAATTGATTTTTATTGAGTTGAGCTGACTATCCTTCGGACTTTACCTTCACGCACCATCCTCAGTTCATCGATTCAACCATACACTCGTAAGCACTAGACTCGCGTTTCACTCTTATTGGAGCTCATCGGTAGTGTATATCCACCGTCCCGTCCAGGATTTGAGCTTCGGACCCATCGCATGGGAGGCGTGTGTGTTACCAGTTACCAGTTAACTGTACGTCATCTGTGTCTCCCTTTGTTGTTGTCGGGCCAAAATGAACTGACTATCACTGAAGGCGACACGTGAACAAACATGAATTGACAATTTGGTTCAGCCATGGTTTGAGCTAGTTGGCACAGTGGCAACACACACCTTCCATGCGATGGATCCGGAGTTCAATTCCCGGACGGGATGGTGGATATGCACTACTGATGAGCTCCAATAAGAGCTAAACTGAAGTCCAGTGTTTCCGAGTGTATGGTTGAATCGATGAACTCAGGATTGTGTGTGAACTTGAAGTCCTAAAAGTAGTCAGCTCAAATGAATAAAAAATTAAATAATAACACTATCACCTTGCATGCATTGCGAGTTTGGCAGCGATCAGTGAGTTTCACTTTACTGTATTTCATTGTACGATACTGATGATTAGGCTGTTCTTAGACAAACTGGAAAACGGCCAACTACAGGACATTACCCATCAACTCCTACTATACCGCCGTCATAAGAAATGTTTTGGAATGATATTAGCTCGGGTTGCAGATGTTGGCCAATAAAAATAGAGGGAAGGAAATATCTGATTGAAACCCTCGACCAGAACTATATAAGCTTGGTCGCATAGGAGACTGGCGCTTCCCCGAAGTCGCACTGATGATGTTGCCTAGCTTGTCTACGAAACGTCTGCGAACAACACTTCCAGCTTGGAGAACTCACCAACACCTATATTATGTCGGCAATACTTTTATCCTATCGGATAAAAACGTTTTATCAGACGTAAAATTGGATCATTTTGACTGAGATCGTCCGTCAATCAGCTTCACGAACGAAACAGAAGTTGGGTATACCTTTCGTTTTCTCAAGAGGGGACCAAATGAAAAGTTATGCCTTTAGATTTTTACAAATTACCTAGCAGCGGGCAATACATTCACTTTTAAAGTTCTGTTCTGATGAAATATAGAGGCAACTTAACATGGTATCTGTCTTTGAGAACCCGGGAGATCTCTTCCACGGATTCAGTGGAGGAAGAATCAAGAACTATCAAACCCATACTCCTGAATCATGGATGCCCGGAGGACAGTGAGAAAACACAAAAAAGGCCAAAATCACCCAAAACATTTACAGTTCAAAAGAAAGAACAATTCTTGTAGGAAGGAGAGTTATTGATGTATTAAAGACGTTTGTGCGAAGCCATCACACGAACGTACCCAGATGCCACTGTAAATGTTACGTTTACAAGCCAGTCAGAGCTCTACACAAACTTTAAGAATGTGCTGTCTCTCATTGCCTTGTCCATGAATGCACATTTGTTCACCAACACATGTTTGGCAGGTCACGTAGGACGAGCGATGAGACAATTTGCAGAATAGATCAGAGACCACAAACCAACTCGGATAGGCGCGAAATGGAAGAAAACAATAACAAGTGCAATCGTGTCCCAACTAGCTGACACCACGTACCAGATAGATAATGCATGTAAAGTTGTCTACAAAATGCCCCAAAACAAGTCAGAGTATGTTCGGTAAAGTCACTTAGCAATCAGTATCCACTACTATACAAAATCCAGAAAATGATTAACACTCTGCAGTTGATTTGGCCCTGCCCCAAACTACGGGACAAATCGAACTATGACCTCAACCAAATGGTGATGACGGAGTATGGCGTGATACATCGCGCGTGAATAAAAAATCATTGCAAATTGACAGATTCGACAGACCTTGTTATTTTTTCCATTTACCTTGAACCAATCACGTTCTTTTCTAACTTTCTGTACCGGGCCGAAAATCACACGATCGATCGGGTTCATTTATCGAACGGTCGGAAGGTTCAGGGGCAACAAGGGACCTGGTGCTTTCCCAGCTAACCCGAGCAAGAAACCACACTCTGTTTACAGCCGTGAGTCTTAGGCAAGCCCAGTGAACTTCGACTGTGCAGCAGGAGTGTCATCAGCACTCGGGTGGACTGGATGCGACAAGACCTTTCCAAACATACAAGTCGGTAATCAGACAGTCTCGTGTTGGTGTGAGGGATTCCGAGTGCCACAGATAACGGCCTATGATTCAGTCAGATCACAGAAAGGGTCAGAGGTAATTTAATTGGCTAAGTTCACGAGTGAGAGGGATGAGACGATGTGAAACGATGGAGCAATCGCATTGTAAACTGCAAGTACCCGAGTACCAAGTTCGGAAAAATGCTTGTTCGCTTTCTTTTTGTCTTTTGACATTATGCATATTTATATATGGAAACCCTAGAAAGGATAGACTCAGAATTTCGATAATCCTTTGAAAGATCCTTTTAACAAATGCGATTTATGTTTTTCTTCAAAAAGTTACCTCAATCTTACACCTTTGTTGCGTCCAATAAAATCTTTCCTCGTGTTTTCGAGTTTATATCACAGTTACTCATAAGTAGTAGTGGTGGATAATTTGAAGGAACCATCCTCCCGAGGTCATCTGCGCACAATTACCAGCTAATCCGGTGAACCGTATACTTGGAAGCATTCAACTCCAGGTCTGAGTAAATTGGAGCGTCATACAGCTGCAAACAAGATGCTCAAATTAACAATTCCCGTTTTCTGCGTTGTACTGAGGATATCAAATTATCGTTCGATAAATATTCAATGATCTTACAACCATTTTCATGACCTAAAAGTGGGCTAATCATAAGGTAACCCATAAATCAACTCTAATCACTTGGCGGTGAATAAAATTTGGTTTGCTTCCTGGGGTAATGTTACTCTTGCTTACTGCGATAACAGTGTTTTCAATTGGTGGGAATCTGAGGGAACGATGAAACGAGAATGGGAGCGTGTTTCATTCGCTGGTAGAAACTGCAAATTAATAAATCTCGATAATTAGTAGTAAATCACACGAATTCAGAGATGTCAGAACGCATGGCGATCTGCGTAAATGACACCAGTGAAACTAAAGGAAACTATGCGTACTTTGCAAATGAATTTCTTTTTTCATACTGCAAACGATCTTTTCTAGACCACGTGGTACGTGTTTTACCATAGTCAATTTTGCGACATCTGGCGAAGCTCATTCATCACGAGTACTCTGACAGGAGAAGTTTTGATATAACTGACTGGGTAACGGTTGTTTCAAGCGAGTTCTTGCCACTTACCATTTTAAATTAAATAAAAGATTTTAATTTTATTTAATAAAGGTTTTAATCAAAATAAAGCACTTTTATATTTGACGACATTTTCGGACTATATTCTGCTCGATTTGAAACAACAAAAAGTGAACACGCATAAAATGTCCACACAGGAACGGGTTGGTATGCTTTGGCCTAATTATGAATCATGCCATTAAGAAAAGGTTAAATGATTTACGTACTTCAGCTGAGATTATGCAATAAAGTGTTCTTTCAATAAACTCTATTCTTTTCAAGTACTTCATCATTGCTAAGACGTAGCTTTAATTGTGCAAATGGATGTTTGGCAGATTTTAAGTTTGTTTGGTATGGTAAAATTTCCGTAGCCTTGGTGAACTCCGGTGAATTCTAAGGAAAACCTGTCTGGGCAGTCACCTTACATGCTAATTAGTGGATGCCATATGCCTCTGTAAGTTGGATGGGCAAATTCGAATTTGAAAAGATCAGTGCTATCGGTGTGGCCTCGTAGCTCAGCTGGTAGAGCGTGCGCGTACAAAGCGTAGGCGGCGTCCATGCGTAGCCTTAATTGACATTTTGAAATTAGTTTGCTGGATCTTCTATTAGAAAAATACAGTTTACGTCGCGGTCTCGTATAAAGTTATTGTTTCAGTTTATTGATGAGAGGATGCGGGAAATGACTTGAAAGTAAAGACCGCATTGAGTACTAACCGCTGTCACTTAGTGTTCTGAAAAATGCACCAAAAGCAGCATCAAGTCATTCTGTGGTGTTGTGTTTTACAATTCACTGATGTTTGCCATCCATACTCGTGACGGGATTGATTATTCAATTGATTCACAGTTGCTGCCTGCTATTACAAGCTCAAGCACTGACGCCATGTGGACTGACTCTATGCCAAAACAACCGGCTCCAGCCAGTCAGATGCTAGCATTGGACTGTACGCGCTGATTGATTTGGTGGCTGTTTAAATGCCTTGTCAACCAAACTCGGATGTCGTGTGAGATTTTTGTCACTTGTTGTCCTAACTACCTGCCTGCCTGTCTGTGTGGTACCGCACTGTTTGCTCATCGGTCTACCGACGGGCTACATTTAAATTTACCTATTGGAAATCGAATAACTACTAAATTTGCCGTTTACTTATTCATTTCCTTCCATGGGAGCTGGAAAATGTTCAATAAAACGTGTGTTGCTCTATGTTGGTGTGGTACTACGCTGCTTACCTTTAGGAAACGTTTTAGCGGTAATTAGCAACCTTAAAGATTTATTATCAGTGAAACCGGTAAATATGTATAACTACTAACTGCGATGAAATCATAAACCAGAGTTAATTTCAAATATTACTGTTATAAAACAACCGTCAAATGATATTTCAGATCTAGTTTACTTCTGTCCGTGTTGTTAAATAACAAATATTTATGTCAGAAAGTGGTAGGCAACCGACCGAATAATGAGTTCTAATGCTAGAATAAATCTTACTTCAAATCCACTAGTTTTTCTGTCGGATGAGATTTTGAGACATTCTTCTATTTTGAGAATAATGTCGGAGATGACTATGGTCTTCTTGATAACCAGGTAAATTATTCCCCGCCACGGTCCTCCGGGAATCACGTTGAAGTCGTGCAGCCGTAGAATTATACTTTGAATATTTGCATTCAGGGTGTCAAATGCATCCTTAATCTCTATCCCTTTGTTTTCAGGCAGTTCGGCATTGTTCATTGGTTTGGTAACAAATCGGTTGCTCACTGGCTTTCCATCTGGCTTCACAAATGGCTTTAACGGTCGAATTATTTCAGATGATGGACGGGGGACTAAAATGGAAAAAAGAATAAAGGTAATGCAGTTAAATTGAACATTTTTGAGACGCACATTCAAAGATATAACTAAACCACTCGGTAGAAATTAGAAAATTATTTTCCATTTGGTCGGATGACCGCTTTATTGTATGGACGATTGAGATTCTGAAATCTGAACATAATCAATATTATATTTGATGGTTATCTATCACAAAAGTCGACCTACAGGTATTCGCAGATGGTCTATTGATTAGTGTTTCTAAAATTACCAAAGAAAGCACATCTCGAAAATGAATACAGCGCATTTAACTGTAAGACAACTTAAAACCATCGAAGGCAGAATAACGGACGCAGTGATACTCGCGCACCTACTCACTGTTTACTGCGCAATTGGGGATGTGAGAAAAGCTAAACCGAGAGTAAATACGCACACAGATGGCTGGTTGATCAATTTACCTGGTTTGCCTTCAACTGCTTCCCGACGCAAACGAGGAGGTTTGGGATAAATTCGATGTACCCGCAGACTCGTCGTGACTGTTTGCCGGCCGCGAGGAAACTACAATTTACAAATGACAATATCGTTCCATGCGTTACACGGTAGAATTAGCCACGCAGCAAACATTGGTGAATTTGAGGAAACACTGTGAAGATGTGTGAATAAACAGAATATTTATACCCTGGCTTTCGACCTTGAATTGTGGGTCATACCCAATATTGGTTCATGTGAATTCAAACTAGTTATGTAATTGTGGATTAAACGTAGTTGTCAGTCAACTTTTATTAAAGGTTTTACCAGCAATGCTAACGTTTGTTCTCGATTCCAAGACACAACCAAGCATAAAGGAGAGCAACCTCGAAAGCGCCTGAGGTTACCAGAAGATTGAAACTATCTTCTCTGAGTCTACAATTGACTTGTATATAAACACCTTGATGGGGAAGACACACGAAAGCGCATCGCACATTTCCCTATTACATTATCAAATTTGTCAAAGGTGTTAATCCAGAAATGTACAAATGAGGCATGTTTAATTTATTCTGTGGTGTTTGTCAAGTCCGAGCCATTTGGGGTAGGAATAGACAACCGCGTGAGCAAAACTCACGGCCGGATTCATTCTAGTTCCGTTGCAGTGTGTTCCAATGACCCAATTCCTCAAGTAGTCCTATCTTGAGTACTGAGAAAAATAGCCAAGTTTATTAGCTGTTTTGTAGGTGACGTAGTTGGAAAGATTAAATGGGATAGGTACCAACACCTGTTGTTCCAGTTTTCAATGTTTCACTTCATGCTAGTGCATACATTTTCTGATCTCAGGATTTCCTTGTTTTCAACAAATAATTCAGTACATATTTGATTTTGCGATTAAATTAATAATATCGACCATAATGATCTAAATGCGCGGGACATATTTTCTAACTCTGTTTTTTTCCTGGTGTAGCATTTGACTAGTAATGTTGCATAACTTAGCACAGTGATGCACATCAAAAAAACCCAACGTTCAGAAAAGAAGTTAAAACCGTTAGGGAAGATCAGTAAGAAAGAATCACATAATTGCTCAGTGATTTAAAACAATTTGTACGGCACCCGCGATCCTACTGAGTTATCACGTAAGCACAAGTGATATCATGAAGCAAAGCGAGACATAACAGTGTTAAGCCTTAGTTGAGTTGAAAAACTGACCATCTCTTCAGTCGGATTTTTTCCATTGTACGAAACAACGCGGTTAAAGTAAGATATTCATTCACGTGACGAACAATCAGGATTAACAGGAGTAACAGAAGTGATGTGAATCATCTCTTCATTTGTCTAAATTGGTTGTGAATTACTTTAATCAGATCTGTGTAACGAAACTAATAGTGTACTTGATTCGTTCAAAGTTTATGCCTACATGTGGCCCAAATGTGGCTCGGTTTTTTAGCCGTTTACAAAAGTCAGACAGTCTCAGTGCTTCATTTCAGATCAGATTTTGAAATTAAGTGTTTAATTTCTACGTTAGGTGCTGAATATATATGAATCAATGAACGATTCGAAAGTGCAGCTAGAAAAGATAGTTTCTCAAGTCTCGGTTTGGTATCTTTGATCAGATGACCTTTGAAGCCAATACTTTCCACCTGAACTGCAAGCAGATGTAAGCTTCCAAAAAGATCATTCAAAATTGATTATGTTAACCTTTTTCCATAAAATCTGATGCAAGTTATAAGCTAGTTGATAAGCCCCGAAAAAATACTGGCTTGTTAAAACGGTTCTTTTCCAATGTATGCCGCTGGTTTATTCCGGATCCAGACTTTTCATTCGTTATTCACCGTGATGATGCGATTAGGTGTTCTCAGTTGGAGATTCCCAGAGCAGTGACAATGCGCCAAAACTTTCGGTTCTTATCCTGCTCTCCCAATTTCCATCCTCATATTCGGAAACACCAACACCACATCGGCGACAAAGATCAATGAGAGACACTCAGGATCTGTTCGCATTCATGGGTCAAATGACAACTTACATGTTTTCACTTTGCCCTAACATGCGAGCACATATTGCTAAGCTATCGCTGCATTCTCATCGATTTCACTTCCCCTGGGTTTTCAATTCACATAAATACCGGTTATTCTTTGGGATGCTCCGAGAACAATTAGTTGTCTGATCATTTATCTTGTTACAGCGAATTATGGAAACCGGATTTAACTCATAATTTATTTCGTGTTCAGCAATAACAAAAGCGTTGCTATATAATAATGAAAATTCCATGCCTCCAGTTCTCTTTAAAATTTTCACGAGAGCAATAATAAGCACCATGATCAAAGGATTTGTTACTTGAAGTTTCTGTTTATCGTATAAAGGAATTGCAGACGATGGTCAGAAAGATCGAATTGATTTTGGATGGTGTACTTCTTGGGTGTCAAATAATATTCTTCAACCTCTTGCACGACTTAAAAAACAAACCAGCTCGAGAACCGAAAAAGAATTTCCTGCCTGTAAGCATGACAATTTTCCTTCAAATCCGGAAAAGTATGTGATCGACGTATCAAATATTATCTCAGCCAATCACAAATTAAGGCCTTCCTGCTTGGTTTTAACTTCTATGTATCACACACTAAGGTTAATTGAAATAACATCAAAGCGCAGTTTGAAAATATGTGCGAGTAACTTTCAGTGCTAGTGCGAAGGTCTTGTGATGCATTCAGTCGCTTCAAATCTAAAACAGTAGATCTCGCCAACGAAAAGTGTGATGCTGATCTGGGAGTGTCGATTGTCATGTCAGATCACTAGAAAGTATCAGAAAAACTTAGAAAAATGAAGCTATTGTTATTTTGAGGTCCGACAAAAGATCTAGAGCTGTCATTATGAGTAAACATGATTATATCAGAAATATGCTAAAAGTGATTTCAGATAAAAGTAGATTTATTCCTGAGCTTTCTCGTCGTATGAATTGCTTTAGTTACATAGGGATAGCCATATAAGTACTGCCGTACTTATGGAGCTTATCCCTCGAGGATTCCGGCTACTTCGTTTGTACTGGCTTCCTTAAGTTCACAGGGATGGTATACCTCTACAGCCAATACTATCTATGATTGGAGCACCTCAACAGAAATAAGCACGATGACTAACCAAACTCCTTCAACCAATCCAGCAAAAGTTTTCTAATTACATTCTGAAAGGCTCGTTTGATTTTGTTGAAAAAATCCATGACCTCAATGTTTCTAATACACATGGTCTCGTATGAGGCTTGGTCCTTATTCATAAATATTCCTCTTGGATGAACTGTGGACATTGTTCGTTCCTATGTGGACGAATTCAGCAGTTCATCACATAGACAATTATTGCTTCAATGTGGTAAAGATGTACACTTCTATTTTAATGGATATTATTATCATCAAGTTGATGAAGAAACTATGGGAAGTCCAATAAAAACGGTCTTTGTATATATCTTCATGGGGAAGTTGGAGGACCCCAAACTGAACAGTGTATAAAAAGATACTTCAACGGCCATAATACTGATGACTGATTGGTCGTATTGAATGACAACACACAAGCACAAGTATTGTTTAGAAAACTCAACCAGTCTCATCACAATATTAAATTCAGGGTTAAGCTCGAATCTGAAACTTTCTTTCATTTACTGCATGTCAAATTGATAAAACTCGATAACGGATCTCCCTCCCATCCAATCCGTGTATCACAAGCAGACTTGGACGGGACAGTATATTTGTTTTGGAAGTTTCTGTCCAATTGTTTGTGACGTACTGCAAGGTTTGTTCTACAGATTCGGGATGATCTGTTCCAGTGAAACATTACGGTTCGGTTTTTGCTGCATTTCAATGGCACTGCACGAAAACGAATATCCTAGAAATCTCAGTGCGAACTAAGTAATGTGGTTGAATATACGAGAACAGAGTGATATAGCCTCAAAGAAAACTGTTTTTGTCAACATACCGTTTAGAAGTGTTCAACATGATAGGCAGATGCAGTACAGGTTAAAACAGGCAATAACAAGAACCTATAACGCTGCCTCCCTCACAGTACTGCACGACATTAAACTAATGCTCACTGAATTTACTCTATACAAACCCGATCATTCAGTTACCTTCTTCTAGGTTTAGCATTTTTGATGAAATTGCGGTGGAAAGTGGGTAGGAAGAACTGAGAGAGAATTGCTTATCATGATGACGGAGAATGTACCGAAAAACCTGGCCTCTGGGTCAATCATCCATCATGTATTGGATGGTAAAGAGTGTAACAAAAATGGGAACGCCTTTCATGTCTTGATACGACAGAAGGGTTTTTGTCCAATATGGTTCACTGAGGCACTTGCCCTCCGATTTGCGCAAACAGACCGCATTCGTGACGAGCCTGGCGCTGCCCTGGTAGGTGTCCCTGTCTCCTTCCCCTTGCAACGTTTACGCCCTATGCTTTTATACCCAATTCAGCTCGAATTAGTGAACTTTGATCTAAGTATTTGTCTACCCAAAACCTTCAACTCTTTTAATCAAACGTGATCTGATTGTATGTATAGTGCTGATGCGGTTATCAAAAAGCACATGAATTGAACACATCCGGTGATCAAGACTGTTTTTCAAGCTCTCAGGAAAACTAAAGTTTCATTGATCGGTAGTTTCGGTTAATAAATTCATGCAAAGAAACTGCGAGAAATTCAGGAGGTGCCTTAGCGAGATTTCAATACAGGAATAGACGTCTTACATCTGAAGACGTGTTGGCCGAAGTCGATGTGTGTTTAAATGATCACTATGGGGGTGAAATATTAAAAACGATCAATATAGCGTAGTCTATGATAGAATGGAGGTCGAGTGAACTGATATGGATTAGTTTGCAGGAAAAATCATAATAATCAGATCACCGAGAGATACGAAATATGACGTGAAACCAACCAAGGAGAGGACAACATACTCCACAGTTCTCAGAATTCGGCGATCCGGAGAGAAATACGGAGAATGAGTGTTTGTTATTGGTCGGTGATACCACATGATTCTTTGTGGAGGATTTTTTCTCTCGACGCTGTCCAACTTCCGGTTTTGGTCCAGACTAAAAATAATTCCAATCGAAAACAAACATTAATCAGTTTAAACTGACTTCCCGTAAGAATCAAATGTGTGTAGCTGATGCAATACTTATGCAATAGAACAAACTAAAGACCACAGACGCAAACATCTTACCTGCGATGAGCCTTCCGTTATTGGTTGAAGTGTGATCGAGAACTGCGTTTCTTTCGGTGAAGTTATTCGTGCAGGAGCTTCCTGAAAAACAACAGACAGCAAACACACAGAACAAAAATAATGATTATTTATTTAAGGTGCAACACCAAAAAGAGAGACAGTTGAGATACACCCGTGGTGAGTTCAAAGACAACCGACAGACAAAAATGCGTCTGTTTTTCTATGGTCAAGTATACATTAATCCAGTAATTGTGATACTAATGACAAATGAAAACAGCAAGAACATCTACGTTTACCTGTTTCGACAACCTTTAGGTCTTTTTTATTAAGATAACAGTTCTGAACAAATAAGATGCTTATTGAGGTGTCCTAAGGCAAATCTCGGCATCAATTTCTTCCCAGCTGACTGTTAAATTTCGAGATTAAACACCGGTCTAAAATATTCTTGTGAAACCCATGTGACAAATGTTCCATTTATGACCGTTTTGAACCAGTCAATGAGGAAAAGCAAAATGACGTTATTTGAGCCCAATGCTTCCACTTGATACAAAAGGACAGTTTCAGATAAGAACGCTTCTTAAATAATTGTGTTTAAAGAGTTATAATCAATTTTTATAAAGAAGCACCTTATGAGCCTTAACAACATCAGTCCTGCTTATTGACTATTTCACGCTGTACTACCAATCGCAGACACCTGATGTTGCCACAAATCAATGACTGTGCACTGAGCACAAGATCATGTTGCGCTGGCACAAACCACACAATCCGATCACGTTCAGTGATTGGCTTTGATGGACTACCTAGAGCTGTCTCAGTATTTGCAACGTCAAATGCGCACTCACTTCAACGTGTCACATGATTTCATTTTCGCGAATATGTTCAGACATTTCGAATAACATGTTATTTCTACATTTGATGTGAGTTTGGTGGTACAAACACGAATACGTGTTTCGCTTTTCCCCTAATAAATAAAACTATTATTTTTAGTTTAAATGGAATTCGATCCCTGGAATCAAAAGAATATTTGGATCGATTACATATTTTATCGGCATTTTGTTCTTTAGATTTTTCGTGATACAAACTATAAGGGGTAAATTGAACTGAGTTTAGAAGTCAACAACACGATTCTACCTCGACAATTTTTGTTTTATGGACTGCTCAAAGTTGTGCGGATATTTCTCAGGACCCAAAGTTATGATGAATAAAGTGTTATTCGGCTTGAAATCATACACTGTCTATAAGGCATGGCTGTGGCATGTATGAAGAAATCCAATTGCAATAGTGATTGGAATTTACTACCCGGATAATGTGATGTTGTTACTCAAGTCCTGATGTTCACACGCTAAGGCACACGTAGGCCAAACGCATGATTTATACCTGTAGCTTTATGTGACCTTCGAAAATGTACTCTGTATTCTCCCAGTTAGAATAAATTGCAAATCATTGAAATTATTTTGAAAAAATTTGTGACAGCTAAGCACTAATGGGATTACTGAAACTGAATCAGTCGAGCTATTCAATCAAGACCTAAGTTGTTCTCTTGGCTCATGCGCAACCAAAACCTATCTAAACACGAAAAAGTCTTTAAATTTATTGGTATAGTATGAATACCATCTAATGATAGGCTCTTTTGGATGGTCATACTGCCAGTACCTTTGATATTTAGGCAAAATATAACCTAAGACTAAATATAACGAATAAGAGCAGAGAGTTCGGATCAATATCATGTGTTATCCGAAAGACCTGCAGTTTGCTTTGAAAAGCAGAGTTGTTCACCCTAATGAGCACAGCCAAGTTCCGACTGTAAAAGTCTTCTGAACGGTTAATTCATTCATCCCGTCACAGAAATCAACAAGAGAATTGTTTGCTGGAAATTACCAAATACCAGGTTTAACGAGCAAAGCAAGTGAAATAAGCAGTCCCCAGATGGATTAAAAGCTAGATTTGAAAATCAAGTTGGGCTCGCGTAAAAAGCATGAAATGGTTGAAACGATGTGGCTTTTGTGCAGGTTCTCCGTGAAATGTAAAAATTCAATGTTTATGTACTTTACAAACTTTGTGCTTTAAACCCGTTTATCTTACCAAACAAAACGTATGGAGGAAAGAGTTATTATTGGTTATTTAATATGAACAAAAAATACATATTAAGGTTTTGGAATGGAAGAGCTTGTAACCTCATAAGCTAAACAATAAAATCTAATGTAAAGTTGATCCACGCAGTACATCGGAATGTTTGAAAATTTACCCAAGAAAACTAATTTCTGAGGTTAATTATTCGAGGTTAAATCATAATGATGGTAAATTAAATATTACAAAAATCAAAGGTAAAAAAATCATAAGAGTAGTTTTTTGCAATGAAGTGAATGAATTATGCACTTCAAAAAGATTAATTTTTAATTTCTTATCAAAGCTGAGTTCAAAGTGATAAAGCAGAGGACAGGTTGAACGATTTACGTATGACAACCATGATGAAGTTGTTGATTTTTCAACTTCTCGCTTTTGTTGCCTATTTTCTAGTTGCAGGGAGTTTGGCCCAATTAAATATGTGTGGTTTGCTTATGCTACAAACTCTGATGCAACTGTTTAAAAAGCGATATTTTAAGTTGTTCAGCCTTACAGGTTGTTTTTTATGAAGCACAAAAACAATCATAATTCAAAGTCTGATTTGTAAGAAATTTCAAAAATAGAATGAGTATGACACCCATAGTTTCACAATGAATGTGCATCCGAGAACAGTTCTGAAAATGGGATCAATGTCTTTTGTTTCTCTACAGCAATGCGGCATGAAAGAAGTAATGCCACCGATAACACCAAATGTCTAGTTTCTAACACATCTTCCAAATGTGCTCTCGAATTATGACAAGGGTAAGTAATGTGGCGCTTTTATGAACACATATGGTGATGAGAAAAATGAATCATTGGTGAAATGTTAGAACTCAAATCAAACAAGAACGTTATTCTACAATGGAGGAGGTGGAATTTCTCCTTAGTTAATCATACAAGGGATTAAATAATGGTTAATTAATGTACGCTGACTCTTTCAGAGCACGGTTCCTTGGATCACGCAAATTATGATTATCAATCTCATCATTTGTTTGTGTTCTAGATGTGGTACTTAGGAAAATTGATAACGAAATCATATCACATGGTCAAGTTTAAACATTTATCTTGAGATTGATGACATGCGTTTTGATCACAGCCCCGAGAAGAACTGGCTTTGTTTTGAGAATATAAATCACCTGATATAGAGAACAAATGCTGCATATTATCGGGTTGATTTATGGGAGTTATTATACCTCAATAGATATCGAGTTGAATTTCTGATGTCTAACTAAGCAAATTTTCCCAGTACCCCTTATCTGAGGAATATCTCTAGAAAAGGCTATAGTTTTGATCGGATACCTGCTTCAAATTAAATAAGAGGTACGCTCTTCTGATGCCCGAAATCTAACAACACATAAACCAAGATCCGAACAGGTAAAAGCAGCTTAACAGCATAGCCAAGCTTCTGAGTCCACACTGCCACCGCTCTATAGAGGACGATATTCAGCATTTAACAAGATCACATTACTTCCTATCGTTTTTCATTGTCATTCTGCGGTTTACGACTGAGTTACAAATTGGAACAAAATTAGAGTAGATTGTAAGACAGGGTTGTGACCGTTTTACTTTTTAGTATATATACATGTACACCAACTGCCAGACGGATTAAACTTCTACGTCATTGTTCCATCTCTCGATTCAAGTGTTTCTCATTACATATGTTCACAGGTTCATTCACTGGATTATGTCGGACATAAGGATAATGATGAACTCAGCTTTTTCTTCCTATACAGAAAACGTGTGTTTGGTTCAGCGTAGAGGAAGAAATAGATAATATACTGTTCCATCCTCCCAACAATAACAACAGATTGCGGGTAAATGGTGAATAGTGAAAAGTGATACACGTTCTCATGATTGAGGTGAAGGTAAATTCTGTCTCTTGCAAATGACAAACGATTCCCTCGATAATCCGATTATCGTACGATTATCGGATAATATTTAAATCATTAACATTTGTCCATAATTATATTATCCATCAGCTAGTTAAGTTAACACATTTTGGTCTCTGTGACAAAGAAAAACATTGTGTCACCTTTTTTGGGAATTTTAAAAGTTTGGACATGAGCCCTATGTCTCAAGGTTCTTAAGAGCTTCGGCTCTGAAGAAAGACGTGTTTGGTTTAAGTTCCAACCCTAATGCTGACTGTCAATTAATCCAAGCAGCCACAAAACAGTATTCTATTAATCTTTTTAGCCATCGCATTCACAAATATTTTGTATCTAAAAGGGCGAGCACAATAAACTATCTCGAATGATTTGATTGCCTTTCAGGTCGCACTTTTGTTTACACAAAACCCAGAGTGTACTCCCAAACGAACCGCCGGGCTGAGATATCTTTATTTTGCTAATCAATCTGTGATACTCCCGGATTGAGTGAGCAGTGCTATGAACATGAGATCACACCCTGTTCGGAAGAAGTCGCATGCTTTAATCATGACACAGATATATCCATGGACCTGAAATATCCACCAACGTAGTGCAACCGCGTGAATTTAAAAATGTATCTTTACTGAGCATGCCTCACTGAGATAACCCGTTCACCAGAAAAAAATTAAACAGCGGAGAATTCTAAGTTGGGAGTAATGTATTGACTGTCAACTTTGCATGGATGCGTGAACATTGATCCGTTTTATTCATGCATTCATAGCTGTTATCGGACTAAAACATCCCAAAAAGTAGCCCCTAAACCGTCTATACTTGAAGATCTTTGTGATTGATTCGATACACCGAACTACCTGCTCATCCCCATGATCCACCAACTAAGCGAAGCATCTCGCAAAGCAATTGGGACAAGGAAGAACACGCTCGCATCTGGTGTGGAAATATATTTATTTGGAGACGCTATATATCAATTTCAATAATGGGCCTCGACTTTCCCAAAACGATTGAATTGAAAAGCCTCGTAGTTGCGGAGTCAGTTGAGACAGACTGGCAAAAATTAGGCATTAATACGCAAAAATTCAAAGAGGTTATTCACTTTAGGGAAAAACAAATAAATTCTTATAAGGTATGTAAATTGAGTAGGTTATTAAAAATTCAGAAAAGGGACAAATAGGCAGCTCTAAACAAGCATAGACAACTTCACTACCATCCACAATGTCGGATGCTACGTTATGTCACGAACTATTTTACCACATTTGACCTCTCCTCGGAACAGTTCGATTAAACTCTGCTAATTTGAAATGAGAATATGTGATACAAACACAATACACCATAGAGTTATTTTTTTCCTCTTTTATCCTCAACTTTATTATTGCAAGATTTGCGCTTGGTACAAAGACGTAAATCAGCAATGTTATGCTAATTGTTTAGCATATGATCGTTGGTGGGTGTCCCAGATTGTGGCTGCTAACCCTCCCCTTGCATCTCTTGCATCTTATATGACCAGGCGTCACAAGTAGCTTCTATTAAGGATGTCCTACTTAATGCGTTCCCATGGCGTAGAAGTCTTCTCACCGGAGTGAGAGGACGAAACACCAACATCCAGGGCCATAACCGCATTGGTGAATGGCTAGCAGTTCACTTAGAGGAGTTGGCTAAATATCCTAATCACAAACCATCCATGGGTGAACAAAACCCATATCCACACGTTCCTGGTTGTGGCGGTGGTCACCGGTTTGATTGGCCATCGAGGTGTATTGGGTACATTGGACATTTGACCACCTTGGAAGGGGGCGTGAACCGACGAATTGGACCCCGACCCCCAATGGATTGCCGTTTTTGCACACCACCCTGCAGGCGTGCGGATTGGGCTTTCACTAGTCAAAAGCTGTGATTGTGACCTCACCTCCCTTGGCATGAGCAACGTGACCACTAGCAAAACCTGTTCGTTTCTCTTTATTACAAAAAATTATTGTACTTTGAGTTGTTCGGATCAGCCTAGACGTAGATGTATGTAGAATAAGTACATGTATAATATAAATGTTTTAGCTAATGCAATGCATAACAAAGATTTACTTATGATAGATTAGCATCTCCTCTGACAAGGAGGAAAAAATAAATCTGTGCGCATAGGACTAAGACGAGAGAAAGAGAGCTCGCAAAGAACAGACATAGAGATACACAGCCTGCTGGAATAATAAATAAGTCACGGAAAACTCATAAACTCACGCCAATATTTTTTTTCGATTCGGAACTGTTTATGCGAGTAATTGCAATTTCTCGTGCACCCGATTTTATTTGCTCCAAAATTGAGACATCCGATGTAAGGTCTTGTTGTTTCACCACTGTTGCCTGGAGTGAAAGAGAAAACAGTTAACTGCTGGTTTGCGTGATTTAGTAGCGGCTTTACGCACTGCGGTAATGTCTAAAAGCTGAGTGAGTCTAAGTTAGAAAACCAAACGGAGATGGTATGACAAGTTTGTTTGAACAGTTGCAAACCTTTGTTGGGAGCACAGAATCAAACTAAATCATCATTTACTTGCAGATAGAAAATCTTTAAATAGGCGCTAATCACTCATCGCTGGCACCATCGCTGCGTGGATATGGTGGTGAAATCTTCCCTCAACCCTCCCAAGCTCATGGTGTTCAAACTAACTGCACAGGGGTTAAGGTGAACAGAAAACGAGCTGGCTTGGTGAAGCCAAAGGAAAACTAAATACAAAAGACTGACTGGTCCTCATCCGAAAGGAATTTAACGATAAAAAAGGAATGAATACTTAAACGCAGCTGATGTTGATCTTGGTCCTTCAGTTTCAACAAATTATCTCAATTCGGCATTTTTCCGATTTTCTTCATGCGACCGATCCTTCAGAATGAGGCATTATATCATTCACGGGCTTTTTGTTGTTGTTGCCAACTGCAGACAGTAAGATGCGCACGTAACGACTGCTCTCCACGAGTAACACTTCTGTGATAACCGGAAACATCCGCTTGCGTGAATTGGTTGAGGCAAAGAAGTTTCCGTTGAGGTAAAACTCAAGCCAGCGTCTCTGTCATGCTTGCGCAATCCTATTTGTGCCCATTTTTACAGGCTTCAGCGATCTACCTTATTCTATATGTGGATGTTGTTCATTTACTTAAAGCACAAGTGATGCGCGCAATATTTTGCCTTCAAAGTAACTCCACGTTAACATCAGTGTAACTGCGCCAAAAGGATACGCCATTCAGTTCTTACATGTTTACAACCACTTCCCTTTTACAGTCATCAAACTTTATCCAAAGACCGAAAAATTACGAAGTGAGAGCCGCTAGACTCATTTATCAGCGACTAAGTTTCAGTGGGAGATAATTCATTATGGTGCGTTGTGTACAAAACTCATACCAGAACAGGAATAGGAGTTTGATATAAACTGGCTGTCAACTGTACTTGCATGTGCCCCTAAGATTTAAAGAATGAGCCATTGTCTTTAAGATTTTCTAAATGTTGCATTTGTCCTCTGACAAAACACATCTTCATTTTAATCTATCAAAAGAATTAAAGGAATCAACCCGATAGGACACTATTTGAGTATCTGTGCACGTTTTGAACAGACTGTTCAGTTCCACGTAGATCCAATCAGGCCGCAGCTATGTGAATACAACCATGTCAATAACGGTCTTTCACGTAGAATGAAAGGAATCCAAATTCTGTCATAACGAGCTGGGTCCGGCAGTTCCGCCGGTTTGATAACCATTTACTGGTGGTCGAAGATGCGTCCAATAAAATTCCAACATTTGAATTAGGCTACATATTTGATCCGCACGAGGCATGATGCATGATAGCACTTCATAATCAAGCACGTTCCATGGTTGTTTGCCTCGTCTTTGTATAACTCAGTTACCGAAATAAAATCGACCAGTGATTCTCTCAAGGACGGGAGAATTGGTTTTGGGCAATCGAACAGCAAAATAACCCGCTTAAGAGCTATTTCACCCAACCCCACATGATGGAACAAATAAAGGGTTTCTGTTAGGTTTGGTTACCTCTTCGATCTTGTTTCATGTAATAACAGTGTGTTTAAAACCGCTGAAAGTGTCACTGTTTGGTTGAAATACTGAAACATCTCACCATTGATTGAATAAACCATAATGCACGAGGCTTTAGAGTGTAATGCTACCGTCTGGTGACATTCACTGAAAGACAATTTACACGACGTTCATTTGATATACATAGGTCGCATATTAGATATGTTTTTGTCCGAGATAACCCAGATTTTTATTGGGTTCCCGGTTAAACTTTTTAAGATTCAACTGTTAAAACAATCAAGATAAGAAAGCGGATGGAAAAATAGAATTTCTCATCAAACAGGCGCTGGATAAAAAAACCTCAAGGTACACCCTAATGAACATCGATCATCAACATTCGTTTGAAATAAATCAATAACTTTCAACACCCATCATTTCCCGTTTCACCTGGGTAGCCCTTTTCGATGGTGACTCCATCAATGAAAATCAATCATACCGTTGTTTTCCATTTAAAATAAAGCACAATGGAATATTCTTGGGTTCGAAAATGGAGTTAAAGGAAATTAAGCAGGGTCGCAAAAAAATCAACAGTTTTAGTTAGTAGAAGTGGTCACGTTCGTGGAGAATTATTTTGGAACCCACCTCGAGTCATACAGATAAAGTGACCAGCCTTTACGAAATTATTTATATAACTTTGGAATTTACGGTTGGATAAAATTGCTAGAAATCATTCTATTGCAGAACTGACGTTACCGTGATCAGGAAGCTGTACTAACTCTGAGCAGTTGTCAGAACTAGCATTGTTCGATCTCTAGTGACCAAAATTCATTTACCAGTTATTAGCAGTTAAACGTGAAGTAGTTCCTAGAGTGATCGCTAACCAAACTCTTTAACGCTTGCTTATTTTTATTTTATGATTTGTATTGAACCTTCAGTCTACCCTGGAACTTATTGTTTGAAGTCTTGATTACTGAGCATTCTGTAGATACCTGGGAAACAAAGTGGTTGCGTTCGTTAGTTAGGATTGAAATATCAGTGGCACTAAGTTCCAGTACTTTTATTCGTCGTAAGTAAAAATGAACACTGGTGCGGTCAAGTTTCTGTTGTATGGTTGAAGAATATGAATACAAGTCCGTCTGAATATAGTGTAATGTGTTGATACATTCCAATCAAATCGCGTACCTGAACAATAACCGGTTGCGACAGCGCCTCACTGTTGCTGGACGTATCATAGGTGGAGGATCGGGTTATCAGGGCTCGTTGATCTTCTTCGCTAGTGTTAGACCGCAAAGAACCGGGCAATTTGTCTGGTTTGTTTGGAGCAAGAAGCTGTTAAACACGGAATTGTAATTCGAATCAAAAGATGGGATACGAGTCTGGCAGCACTCACAGCGAGTGTCTAGCTTATTTCTACTGAACGAAAGCAGATATTGATACAGTACCAGACGAATGAAGGAAATACAATGATAAAAGTTGAGGATGACGATGTAGTTGGACAAGTTACAAAAGAGAAAACTGAAAAGAAAGGCGGGGAATTCGGCGCAGGTAAAGTGAGTTCAATTTTTTAACGCACCATCAAGCACGATAAATACCCACGTGAATGAATAAAAAGCGATGAGTCTGTTCGACTAACGTCGTTCAAATGAAGGAAAATCGGTGCATCTCGAATGGACTTGGCATAGTAACCTGAATGTAAAACAGGCTTCCATTGAAAATTAAATTCGTATGCACCTCATTTAGTCTATTGGATGATACAAAGACACACCTATGCGAGAAAACACCGTCTGATAAAGTGCACTAACTTTTTGTGCGTTCCCATTTGCTTGTATTTCGGTTCTTGGGTTTGAATTCATACAAAAATCACGTATCCGTTCAATTTTGAAGTAGGTTGTGGTGGGTGAACAGCTCATATTGTTCTGAACAGCATTTAGCAATAGTAGCAACAATGAAAACCAAGAGTTAAATTTTCGTTGCATGAATTGAAAACTAGGAATATTGGTGGGTTGAAAACGAAAACAGAAAATTCGTATACAACATGAAACACCGCTCTTCTTCGTTATTCATCCGTATCACGTGATGCCAGTAGATCACAAGGAAATGTACATCTATAAAAAGAATTGGGAAATCAATAAATTTCCTTTTTTCATTTGGCACCCTATCGGATTGTGGTTATGTGGTTGCTGAGTATCCACCTTTCGAGGTGCACAAAATGATTCCTTGATTTGACATGACTTCATCATCAGGTTTATATATACACAATTTCACAAATTCCTTGAGCGCCCAAGCGGATGCTGATTGAACGTATGCGAAATATTTTTGATGGATTGATCAAAACAATGAAGTCACTGAATATTTAATGGGAGCGCGAAACTAACGGAAGATATAATCGACGTAAAGCAAAACGTTATATTGAAATGAAAAACGTTTGACCGGAAAATTGGTATAACGGTAAAATGAACACCCGAACTCCTACTCGCATAGATATTTGCAACCAAGTAAAATCGATTTTCTGGATTTGTTCTAGACAGGGGAGTGAGGAATTTAGCATTTGTTGTTTTCAGGTTTGTCACGCTGAGAGATGTATTATTAGTGATTTTGATGCGTATCGTTCCATGGAGATACGAAATATCTAGTCTACGGAGCAACAAAGAGGGTTTTGACCGAATGGAAATAATGAACTAACAAGAAAATAAGGAAATAAAGCAACTGGAGGAATTACCTTTGCAGTGTTACTAACAACCTCTTCTGCCTTGGAGATACTTCTGAATGCGGTAGGGCTAGAAATTTCCGTGTCCGGATTACTGTTACCGTTGTGGTTGCTGGTATCATTCACTAGAACTGCCGCACAGCTGACAGTATCTCTTTCCACATTAATGATGGGCGAACTGGCCCGATCACGGGCCTCAACGGGATTCTATGAGAAAAAAGACAAGAGGAAATAAATGTGAATTTATCAAATCCAACGAAATTATTAAATTGCTTGATTCTACACAATTGAATTTCAATTCTGCCTTTATTGCTATTTTTTCCAAACAATCATAGAAAAAGAACTCGCAAGATAGCTTTGACTGAGCAAGTATTGCTAAAAGTAATCCATTTGGCATTTATCAGACTTTACGAGTTACGTGTTGGTAATTTCCTTGTGCATTTCGATTTCGCATGTTAGACTTTTGGATCATGCAATTAGCTAAACAATCCAGTGGAAAGTATACAGTATTGGAAATATCTTTTATACATCGAGTGAATTCAACGTGGAATAAAATGGTTTGCTCAATCTTTGAGATCATATTAAGTTTCATAATAAACTAAGCCGTGTTTTGAAATAAAAACGATACAGCCATATTTGTAGGCATCAAAGTATTTATGTGTTAAAACAGAATAAATGCGGTTTGTCCAGAAAGAGTGAGAGCAATCGAAACGAAAANGAAAAGCAAATGCCATCATCGTCGAATGAGGTTTAAACCACTGAAGTAGATAAATAGACCTCGGGTTTCATGCGGCATGCAGATGAGGCCATTCAAATATGAAAAAGCAAACACGAAATATGCACTAGGAAATAAAGTTTCAAGAACAAAGCCATTCATCACAAGCATTGCACGATGGACCACGGGCAAATCAGCTCTCTTCATCCACGGTTTAGTAGCGGCAAGACAGGATGAACGCTTTGGGAAGACAATCGTGCTCACTTATTCATATGATAAGTTTTGCAGCTTTCCGGCAAACTGACTGCTTTCTTTAAGTCAGTTGCCTTGACTTCTTTGGATCCGAATCAGAGCAAGACTTTGCTTTATCGTTCTTTAGCTGTATCACTCTGTACGCATTACTGTTTTGGCGATTATTCAAAAACGCATCCATCTAACAGATTTCAGGTTTCCTTAACATAAGACGTTTGAGACCGCAATAGTTCACTTTGACTTACAAAAAGCAGTAAGGGACAGTAGTGAAAATTTCTGTTTTGATTGGCTAGACCCATCCTTTGGTAAGAAATTTTGATGTTCATTCTTTCAAGTATGGGCAGGACCAAGGAGTCTTTACTGAATGAAGAGAAACCGCCGACTAAGAGAGTGAATATCATTTAAAATTCAAATACTTTGATTTCAATCGAGTCCTCGTCAAATCGAACTGTTTTAACGAGTACACTGAAAGCTCTTTTCCTCCCAACCCATTTTTCAAACTACTATGAAGTTTACGCTGTTTGTTCGGAACAGCTTCACGTGTCTCGAGGAGACAGAAGTAGAACAAACCATATGGTCCCAAACCATTATCATCTTTTCCCGTTGAAAACATATGTTTAACACCTTGCAGTATTTATTTATTTCCGAATGAGTCAACCTGTGTCATCCAGAACAATGCCATGTAGTTCGGTCCACCTCAAACAAGACCAAACCACAACGAAAGCATCTTAGATTGCTTCCCAATTCACTGTGTCATCATGATGCTGAAAACTCTCAAGTGGTACCTGTAAGTGACTTACATGATTCTCCACAATTTGAATACTAATCTAAAGGGCCTACGCGTGATGAAGTGGCCGATGTAATCCATTCCGCTTTATCCATCCCAAACAATCGTACCTCTGGTGTTCCCGTGACTACTCCTCCTTATGCAAACGTCCTTCATTCCCTCATCCGAGTTATACTTTTACAACGTTTTTCTGATCATCGCTTGCGACCAAAAATTAACTATCATCCAGCCATGGGAGGAAATGTGCTCCGGAAAATGAGTGAGATCTCTTCCTCTTGTATATATTGATGAATATATTATTTTGGGCTATACTGTGATCACATATTTTTGTGCACATACAATCCTTTTATTTACCAGAAGTTCATTGGAATAATGCTTGAATATAATTCCGTTGATAAAACAGTTTGACTTAAATTGTTGTTCACAAACATTTTGACGTAAGTGAATGTTCCATTGACAGGCGAGCTCGTGATGAAGCATGCGAATGGCAACACCAAATCACAAGAGATGCATCGAATCCCCAAACACTCGCCAAGTTTTGTATTCATTCAATGATATCGTTTTGTTTGTATACCAAAAGCCAATTTAATTTATGTGGTATATATATATACTCCAATAAATGTGATTGGCGTTCGTTGTAAACGTCAGTCGTATGATGCTATTCTATTCTGATTCGTATAATCTGATTCTACTACAATTGAGGGATTGTTTTGCAACTGCCCTTCCCCAAGCTCAGTTTCTTTGATGATTAATTTTCATCAATACATAAATCAGATAAAACTGAATGAATGTTTATCAATGACGATAAATGAATCATCAGGTTCGTTACTTTCGGGAATGTGGTACACAGCTATGAGATTAATGGTGAGCAACAGTTGACAGGAATATTGTCTTCAAATCGTTTTTCTATTCCACTTGAACCACATTTGCAGCTTTTAACATTTTCTATTAGCATTTCTACCAAAGCTCCAGTAACCTTGGACGACTTGTTTTCTTATCACTTTTTCGGAGTAAACTTTTCGGCCGATTAAAACGTGATGCATAGAGCGATTTGGGAGACAAAGGTTTTTCTCAACGTGTAATCTTCGAGTACAGTCAACGTGTGGGTGGGCATTCAAAGGCCTATGGTGCATTACAGCTCGTTCTTTCATGTTGTACGTCACTGGCAGTGCACATCCACTGAATCGGTGTGTTTGAGCAGGACCGCTTGGCAATCTCATCCGTTAACTACCCCAGCTTTCCGCAATGCTCCTCACAAGCTTGTTAGCGAATTTTGTCTTACAGCACGTTTTATGTTTGTCAGCCTTGGTGTACAAACAGTGTGGCAAATTAGTTCAAACCTCAGACTGGTGGGCTTCAAACACTTATATATTGATCATAATTGAGACGTACAATTGGCAGTTCATGTGTCTGTAATGATAAATCTACAATGATAACAGTATTAAAAAAACTCTTAGGTTACTCAGTAACCCCATTTTCTCAGTCGTATAATGATTAGTAATAAATTAATTCTATAGGCAGGTCTCATTTGGTTCATAGACCGAAAACTGGAAGGTATATAACTGCATTGTTGATTATTGGGTATCCGGATGAAGTTTACAGTATGTATTAGGACAAACCAACAGAAAGGATAAAAATCATAGCAGTAGAGAAGAACAATTTGAGTAGAAATATCCTTAAGCAATCCATTGAAATCACTCATATCATGGCTTTAATTTGGGGCTTACTCTTTGTAGGTTAGTTAACCCCAACTTCACACATCACTTTCCATGCAAGGGAACTGTTGTGGTTCACAGAGAAAACAGAACGCTCAATACTGCAGGAGACCCCGCTTTCAATGCTGCCAAACGGAGTTTCGTATTCCATACTCCTAAATTCCTGATCTGAGACGAGAATAAAGCCAATTTTCTTCTTTTGACATCTTCCATGCTAACTCATAAATTCCTAAACCTCAGTGCTGATAAATATGTTGATATAATAATGAGACAGCTAGCTGAGAGAATTAAAGAATATAATTGAGTATAGTTACGACCCAAATCAAAAAGAATTGAACCTACAGCACAAGTTTCATTCAATGGCCCGAGGCACATTATCCCAGTGGTTTGGAATTGACATCCTCTGAAAATATTTCGGTCTCGCTGCATATCGACAGAGCAATTTTTCTACAAATAATAATGAATTTCTAATCTTTGTTTTCAGCGGAAATCGTCTTATTCACTGCCATGATCCATGAACTACTAGTAAGTTCAATCATACTTTTGCTCAAGTAGCAACAACACCCCACCCTTATTCCTCAGTTTTTGTATTTTAGAGATAACCATCGTCTTAGTATCGAGCAACCTTATATTTTGAATTCATAAAGTGACAACCGTGGTGTGCGGAAGAATGGGTTTACCGAGGGTGCGTTAGCCGAATAGTGATTGACATGCTAGCAGTTGGGTTTCTTTTCTAGGTTTCAATGTGTGAATAAAAAAGCTAGAAAGCACTGGATAGCTGTTTTGACCTGGTTGGGTCTCATCAGGTTTGCGAATCCATCGTCTCACCTGGGGATCGAACCCGGGATCCCATGGGCACAGATACAGAAAAAGGATTATTTGCGTCTATGATACACACTCAAGTGCGAAATTAACAAAACCAATGAATCTGTATTCAAGGTTTACGAAAGATATCAAGATAACAATCTGTTCTATATTTATTAATGGGGAGAATTTATAGGTTGACCAACAGACCCTATCATCTATTTTCCCAGTTTAAATGCCACGTGCATGCACGAATGGACAGTAATAACGTGGACATGGAGAGCGTTCGTGAAGTAGTGGTTTATACTGTCCTATTCATCACTGGCAGACATTGCACTACCATAAATATCAGCGAAAAAATATTCTAAATATAGGTCATACTCATATATTGATGGTTATGTGTAAGGTTTATTTATTCCTAACTTTCTCTTCCACTTAGATATTCTTAGTTCTCTTCAATCACCGTTAGAATGAGCGTGACCTTGAGTGCCACGATTAAATTCGTAGTAATTCAAAAGTTACAATCAAATTTGAAAAATATTTTAAGAAAAGCATCATGGAACTTCATTCTTTATAATGTATGATTCCCGTTCCATTAAAGTGATTATTAGGATGAACACTCTCATTCTGAATTGCTTATATCTTGCATTCGTGCTTGGTGAATAAGCCAAATATTCTAGCTTAAGTAAATTGTTAAATTATTTGGCTACAAATTACTAAGGCATAATCCTCAATACTGAATGAACTGAAAACATATTCCAAGAAACATGCAAGTTGAACTTCGAAATTTGACCTTGAGATGTAAGATTCGTCAAATAAGCGTCTTGTAGTGTCATCATACCCAAACTAAGAGATTTTGGCCTACAATTGAAGCGCAGAGGTAGCCTAATCGAGAGTCAGATAAATTCCATGACTCAGTTACTGATAGATGCAAGTGCTTCGCTGTATATATAGGCCTGTATGTTGCTTTCGTTCAAGATAAACCACATGGGATGGATAAGACTTGTTAAATACAACACTTCCAGATGCTGTTTTCAACATTGAAAATAACGAAGTTATCTACTTTCACCATCGGAGAAAGTTTTGGAATTTAATTGATTAAGTGGATCTGTGACTAATTGTCAAAAAAAGACAAAATGAAACATTACAAAAATAATTATTTAAACCACCATTAAAAAATTTCAGCATAGAGTATTATACGAAATATTTTGATTAAAGTGTCAGAAGCCACGGCATGGTGATCTGCTTATTGTCAGACAGATTGAAACAATGCTGTGTTAATTCACCTTTCTCACGTTCTCAAGCAAAAGCCTAAGGGAGGGAGAAATATAGAAAGCCGTGCTCGACAAACAATATAAATATATATCTTACCAAGTGATTCTTATTGGGTACTAGTGAGTGATGTCTTTTGTGCTTGCGCTTGCTGAGTCTCCAATTGACCGGTTGCAGTTTTTCTCCGGATACAATAATCACATTGGATGACGTAAGTTGTTCGGGCACGGAATCAGTCCGATAGATGTGGTTAGTCAGCTCCGAC